ACTAAGGCCTCCGTACATGGGTGGTGCGCGGTAACCACTGCTCCACCTGCACGCCCCGCATTTTTTTTTAATAAAGCATTTTAAATGCCACGAAGATCACATTTAATAAATTTTAATGCCAATTAAGGCTTTAATTGAAATATATATATAATTCAATAACTTCTTATGTCCAAGTACACTCCTGTTCAATAATGCAATGACGCAATTCTGACAGAATCAGAGTGCAGTCGTTCAGTTGCTCTGATAAAGCTCCAAGGAGGCCTAGCAGAAAGAGCAGTGTAGCTGCATCACTGCGTTCACACACCACTCTTACATCCAGTGGAACTCCAGCGTTATTACAATGTCATGTCAAGCGAGCTGCTTTCCCTCATTCTGACCACATCATTGCTCAATCCCCATCATTCATCCCCACACTGAGCCCTGACCCTCTGGGCCTCTTAGCGCTGCTCACTTTTTTTGAAATTGGTCTGGGGAAGGGGTTATATTATTAAATCAGGGTGAGCTACACTTTAACTATGGTTGATATGTTAGAACTGCCTTTGTCTCATCTTAAAATGAGCTCAGAAAAGGATCCATCACATAAGCACTTTTCATTTTCGCTTATGCCTCATTAAAATCAAATTGTTCAATAATCCTGTTCTTTGTGTCTCACACAAAAAGTATTACTCTATCTGGATTCTCAGATAAATAAATTAATTAATTCAGAGGTTTAGTCTATTAGTTCCGTTTTTTTGTTTTTTTTTTAGCTAGTGCATGGTTTCAATCAGGAAATGTATAAGAGGAAGAGAGACAGCTGGTGTATGGGGATCGCTGAAGAGACCTCCTTTGATTAAAATAAGGACCACACCATATCCAAAGTTTTAAATTGTGATGTTATTCAGTTTTAACCAAATAGATATAAAAAATGAATGAAGAATTAAATAAATGTACAAAAATTACACTATAATTGAATAAATATCACCTCCATCCTCCTTTCTACAGATCTCTATCTACAAAACTTTTTCTTTGGTGTTTGGCTTTGTGTACTTTCCTGTGGTTGTCAACAGCAGCTCAAATTCACCAACACGTTCACCAGAACACGTATATCAGTTTTCAACCTGAGCAATTACCATCAGTTTGTTTACATTTTAAACTTGGTGCATTTTCCCCCAAGTTCCCTTAAACTGGCCTTAAATATATCTGAACCATGAACAGAAGTGTTGGTTTCGATTGAAAGCATGCATGGTTGCATATTAAAGGAAGAAGATCTTCTTCCTGTCATGAAATCACATGATCGTAGATGCTGATAAATATCAAACTCTGAAGAAAACAGATCGGTATCTACCACACAGAACTATTAGCTCAGAAAAGGTTTAGATCATTTCCAAAACTAACATCAGCAGAAATCACCCAGTTTCTGTCTGAGTATAAAAACTCTTTGAATTTCCATGACTAAGAAAAAACAAAAACAAACTTTATGTTCAAATAAATTTTCCTGTGAATTCCTAAATATCTTTATCATTAAACAATTCTGCATTTGCTTCCATTTTTGGGAAAATTTCTTCTGAAGGGAAGTTACCACACGAATGATTTACTGAAAAATGCAGTCATTGTGGGAAGTTGGTTTCTCGGTTTAACAATAACCTGTTTGTCATAGAAGAAGCATGCATGCAAATGTGTGATAAAGTTGTCATAGTTATTCATAGCTGTTAAGCAGACAAAATTAAAGTATTAATCAACTGAAGTATGAAGAATCATCAGCTTTCTTTTCTCTGTATGCTTCTCATCAGATGACCTCCTCCTCGCCACCCTGCTCTCGCAGCTCTTCCCCTCACAAAGTTTGCCACTCCCAGACACAAACCGATGTTCTGAAGCCGTTGTTGGGCGGTGGATCTTCTGCCGGGGCTGGGGTTCTGAAGAAGAGGAGGCGCATCCTATCTAAAGATGGGCGCAGCAATATGCGCATTGAGCACATCAGTGGAAGGAACGCCCTCTACATGCGTGACCCCTGGACAACGTTTCTCGAAATGCCTTGGCGCTACAAGTTCTTTCTGTTCACAGCAACCTTTGCGGGGACTTGGTTTCTTTTCGGGGTAGTGTGGTACCTTTTGGCTTTGCTGCACGGAGATCTGCTGGGTGAGAGAGCAGAGGTTGTGTGAAAAAAAGTACCTTCTCACAGTTTCACACGCCCCACAGACTACCCATGAATTTCAACACTTTCATTTCTTTCCATCTAAGTTCAAAACTTTGATAAGGCATATCAGGGTTTACCCCTTAATTTGATGTCAGCATTTAAAAAAAACTTCTGAAAAAAAACCCTTGCTTTTATCTTTTTAAATAAATCCAACATTTTTAGCTTTTCAGTTCCTGCCTAAATACAGTTCATTTCTCTAGTCCAAATCTTCACTATCAGCATAGCAAGTTTTATCTGTAGAAATGGTTTCGATTTTCATAATGAGCCAAATAAAGAAAGCAACAAGAAAACCACACATAGCAAACTAGAATGTGCCGCTTCAGTAGAGTTCAGGGCTGTCCAGAGTTAGCTCTTAACAGAAAACCAGCTATGCTGAGGAAGGGAAACCTCTAAAACCTGTAGGACAGTGGCCCTTGAGGGCCATAAATCATAGCACATTGCAGGGGCCGACTGCTCACATGGGGACCAATGCCTACTCCCCATGTGTATAAAATCTGATTTAGGGTTCAGTGTTAGGTTTAGGACTAAAGACTGATTTATACTCAGAACCATGTTGTCAGCGTGTGTCGCAGTAAATGCAGATATGCCCCAGTCCCTTCCGCAGACACCCTGGTGCCCCTCTCCAAGATCGTAGGTGACCTCAGACAGTGCCACAGATAGGAGGCCTCTGATTGGTCAAATCTACATTCACTCTACACTATGCATATTTCCTGTTTGGTACCTTACTGGCTTGCTTTGTTTGTATGACCGCCATTGTGGAAAACAACTTGTGATTTTGGACCAGCTAGAAGAGCGAGGCTTTTACCCTTTTTCCTCCTAGACCCCCTCTGTTGTCACACAAACTTGTCCCAAATTCCTCATCGCAACGGCCGTATCTAGACCCACCTCTAGTTCTTGATTGTCCCTCTTGCGGTGTGGCATAGAATAACATAGCNAAACTATAAAGTGCCTTGAGATGACATGTGTTGTGAATTTGGCGCTATATAAATAAACTGAATTGAATTGAATTGATAAAGCTCCAACACTGTAAAAACGATGTAGTAATAGGTACAAATTTCTTAAATTGAGTGTATTTACCCTTAATTTGAGCAGGTAAATGAGATAGTTTGCCAATGCAATGAGTATTTTTACTCTTAAAATAAGATAATTAGATAACATGCACTCGAAATAAGACAATGCTATTGTGTTTTCTTATTTTAAATGTAAATTGTCTTGTTCCATTGGCAAAATGTCTCTTTTACCTCCTCAATCCAAGAACAAATAAACTTATTTTAAGAAAAAAATGACTTATCTAGATTTCGATTTTTTCCAGTGAAGGAGGCCTAGCAGAAAGAGCAGTGTAGCTGCATCACTGCGTTCACACACCACTCTTACATCCAGTGGAACTCCAGCGTTATTACAATGTCATGTCAAGCGAGCTGCTTTCCCTCATTCTGACCACATCATTGCTCAATCCCCATCATTCATCCCCACACTGAGCCCTGACCCTCTGGGCCTCTTAGCGCTGCTCACTTTTTTTGAAATTGTTCTGGGGAAGGGGTTATGTTATTAAATCAGGGTGAGCTACAATTTAACTATGGTTGATATGTTAGAACTGCCTTTGTCTCATCTTAAAATGAGCTCAGAAAAGGATCCATCACATAAGCACTTTTCATTTTCGCTTATGCCTCATTAAAATCAAATTGTTCAATAATCCTGTTCTTTGTGTCTCACACAAAAAGTATTACTCTATCTGGATTCTCAGATAAATAAATTAATTAATTCAGAGGTTTAGTCTATTAGTTCCGTTTTTTTGTTTTTTTTTTAGCTAGTGCATGGTTTCAATCAGGAAATGTATAAGAGGAAGAGAGACAGCTGGTGTATGGGGATCGCTGAAGAGACCTCCTTTGATTAAAATAAGGACCACACCATATCCAAAGTTTTAAATTGTGATGTTATTCAGTTTTAACCAAATAGATATAAAAAATGAATGAAGAATTAAATAAATGTACAAAAATTACACTATAATTGAATAAATATCACCTCCATCCTCCTTTCTACAGATCTCTATCTACAAAACTTTTTCTTTGGTGTTTGGCTTTGTGTACTTTCCTGTGGTTGTCAACAGCAGCTCAAATTCACCAACACGTTCACCAGAACACGTATATCAGTTTTCAACCTGAGCAATTACCATCAGTTTGTTTACATTTTAAACTTGGTGCATTTTCCCCCAAGTTCCCTTAAACTGGCCTTAAATATATCTGAACCATGAACAGAAGTGTTGGTTTCGATTGAAAGCATGCATGGTTGCATATTAAAGGAAGAAGATCTTCTTCCTGTCATGAAATCACATGATCGTAGATGCTGATAAATATCAAACTCTGAAGAAAACAGATCGGTATCTACCACACAGAACTATTAGCTCAGAAAAGGTTTAGATCATTTCCAAAACTAACATCAGCAGAAATCACCCAGTTTCTGTCTGAGTATAAAAACTCTTTGAATTTCCATGACTAAGAAAAAACAAAAACAAACTTTATGTTCAAATAAATTTTCCTGTGAATTCCTAAATATCTTTATCATTAAACAATTCTGCATTTGCTTCCATTTTTGGGAAAATTTCTTCTGAAGGGAAGTTACCACACGAATGATTTACTGAAAAATGCAGTCATTGTGGGAAGTTGGTTTCTCGGTTTAACAATAACCTGTTTGTCATAGAAGAAGCATGCATGCAAATGTGTGATAAAGTTGTCATAGTTATTCATAGCTGTTAAGCAGACAAAATTAAAGTATTAATCAACTGAAGTATGAAGAATCATCAGCTTTCTTTTCTCTGTATGCTTCTCATCAGATGACCTCCTCCTCGCCACCCTGCTCTCGCAGCTCTTCCCCTCACAAAGTTTGCCACTCCCAGACACAAACCGATGTTCTGAAGCCGTTGTTGGGCGGTGGATCTTCTGCCGGGGCTGGGGTTCTGAAGAAGAGGAGGCGCATCCTATCTAAAGATGGGCGCAGCAATATGCGCATTGAGCACATCAGTGGAAGGAACGCCCTCTACATGCGTGACCCCTGGACAACTTTTCTCGAAATGCCATGGCGCTACAAGTTCTTTCTGTTCACAGCAACCTTTGCGGGGACTTGGTTTCTTTTCGGGGTAGTGTGGTACCTTTTGGCTTTGCTGCACGGAGATCTGCTGGGTGAGAGAGCAGAGGTTGTGTGAAAAAAAGTACCTTCTCACAGTTTCACACGCCCCACAGACTACCCATGAATTTCAACACTTTCATTTCTTTCCATCTAAGTTCAAAACTTTGATAAGGCATATCAGGGTTTACCCCTTAATTTGATGTCAGCATTTAAAAAAAACTTCTGAAAAAAAACCCTTGCTTTTATCTTTTTAAATAAATCCAACATTTTTAGCTTTTCAGTTCCTGCCTAAATACAGTTCATTTCTCTAGTCCAAATCTTCACTATCAGCATAGCAAGTTTTATCTGTAGAAATGGTTTCGATTTTCATAATGAGCCAAATAAAGAAAGCAACAAGAAAACCACACATAGCAAACTAGAATGTGCCGCTTCAGTAGAGTTCAGGGCTGTCCAGAGTTAGCTCTTAACAGAAAACCAGCTATGCTGAGGAAGGGAAACCTCTAAAACCTGTAGGACAGTGGCCCTTGAGGGCCATAAATCATAGCACATTGCAGGGGCCGACTGCTCACATGGGGACCAATGCCTACTCCCCATGTGTATAAAATCTGATTTAGGGTTCAGTGTTAGGTTTAGGACTAAAGACTGATTTATACTCAGAACCATGTTGTCAGCGTGTGTCGCAGTAAATGCAGATATGCCCCAGTCCCTTCTGCAGACACCCTGGTGCCCCTCTCCAAGATCGTAGGTGACCTCAGACAGTGCCACAGATAGGAGGCCTCTGATTGGTCAAATCTACATTCACTCTACACTATGCATATTTCCTGTTTGGTACCTTACTGGCTTGCTTTGTTTGTATGACCGCCATTGTGGAAAACAACTTGTGATTTTGGACCAGCTAGAAGAGCGAGGCTTTTACCCTTTTTCCTCCTAGACCCCCTCTGTTGTCACACAAACTTGTCCCAAATTCCTCATCGCAACGGCCGTATCTAGACCCACCTCTAGTTCTTGATTGTCCCTCTTGCGGTGTGGCATAGAATAACATAGCGCAGACCACGCTTCAATATTGGGCTAGTTAAAAAATATCTGCAACGAGTTCACTGCGACACACTGCTGCGGGAGTATAACCAGCCCTTAAGGTGTGAATTGAGTTTAGGTTGAGGTTAGAGGTAGGTATAAACCCATTAATGTTAGGTTTAAGGTAAAGGTCACAGTTTGGCTTTACAAAATGGCATAAAATGAATGAAAGTGAAGCAAACATAATTGTGTGTTTGTGTAACACACAATTGGTGTGTCACACTGAATTTCAACACTGAAGTTTTTACACATCGAATTCCTTACACTGAATTTTTATGTGGTGAAAATTTGTTCTTGAAAATGTGTCGACCTTTTGTTGAACTCAAGCCAAAGCGATCTATACTTGATGGAGTTGAGAAGCTTCTTGCCTGTGATCTGTTTTTTTTGTGTGAGAAAAAGGGGGTTTTTGGGGGGGGGCGTCTTTTGGGTCTCATCTCGAGCGTCTGGGGAGAGTGGGGCGGTGCTCTCTGTGATCGGCTCAGTTATTTCACCCAGTCCGATTAAACTTTTTACAATCATATCTATTTAACAAGAAAGACTCCTCATTCGGCTTCATTCAGCCTGGAACAGTGCTATGGCCAACTGTAGTTTCACGTAACCAAATTAGCTAAATTAATCAGCTAAAAGCTCCTCGACTGCATTGAGTGTTGATTGCTTTGGCTTGAGTTCAACAAAAGGTCAACACATATGCAGCTGAATTTTTTGCAGGCAGTTTTTTACCAGATATAAATTGAGTGTAAGGAAATCAATGTGTAATGTGTAATCAATGTGTTTAAAATTCGGTGTACAAAGGCAGATTCCAATGAGACTGTTTTTCTTCCCAACAAAGCCAGCCCCAAAGGTTGGTCTTGTTTGCTTTTTAATCTGCATGTTTTTGCTATTGTAATTAATCGAAATTGTGAGTAATCTTATGTGCACAAGATTTAATTAAACATCAGGGAAAATATATTCATCTAAAATATCAGGAGTTTTGGTCGACGATGATAACTGAGGTAAAATCAGATTTAGGAAGGTAACGAGTTTTATTGCTTAGCTGAGATCAGAACTGCAACATATCTAGAAATAAAGATCAGAAAATGAACAAGTGGAAAGATAGAAACCACTCTTTCAGACCAATACCCTCAAAAAAACTTGGACCCCAAACATGCTTGTAAAACAATTATGGTTAAATCTTAAACTCCCACCAAAGTTGAAAACATTTTTTTACTGATAGGAAACCGTGATGATACGTCGGTGAAGCAGTAACTCACCACTGATAAAACCTCTGCAACACGTAAGCTGCTGAAGTTGAAACCTACATCATGAGGGTTTATTACAGTCTTTTTTTCCTGTTTAAATCTCACAGTTTTGCAACTATTTTCTTTTGCAACTTTGCAAATTTAAAGCAACACGCTGCACAAAAAAATGACAGCACCTATGGGGTGAGCGTTGAAGACTACAGTAAGGTGTGAAAACATGTTTTCAAACACATGCAAGTGAGACAGTTATTTTTGACTGTTGGAACGGGCACTTTTGAGCTTTTAGGTTCTGTTTGGGTTTTCCTTTGCTAAATCTAAAATTACTTGAACTTAGCCGGTAAAATACTTCATAAGTAACTATTTGCATAGCTCTACTCCCCTGCTAATTTTTCAGAAGACGTTCACAATTACAAAGAAGCCTTGTAACGTCAAATATTTCATCTTGACAAGAAAAAAAGAACCACCAGCCCTCCCCCACTTCCTCTTATGACTCATGTTTCCACCATTAGAAATGACAAGAACCCTTCAACAAATCTTGTCTTTACCATTTATTCTTCTTTACCACAGTCTTGATAAACTTGTGTTTTATTTTCTGATATATTCTTTCAGAGTTTGATCCGCCATCCAACCATACACCCTGTGTGATGCAGGTGCAGACCCTCACAGCTGCCTTCCTCTTTTCTTTGGAGTCGCAGACCACCATTGGTTATGGTTTCCGATGCATAACAGAGGAATGTCCAGTTGCTATAATCCTCCTCATCCTCCAGCTGGTCATCACCATGCTCATGGAAATCTTCATCACTGGCACCTTTCTGGCCAAGGTTATAAACATAAGAGAGAAATGTGTTAAACCACAAGAATATGTATTCCGGTGTGTTGTTTTACCATTTAAAACCAACCGTCTAGATCAGCAATCAGCTGTATATATTCCAAAGGTATTTACTTCCTTTTGAACTTTTGCGCATTTTTTAAACTCCAGTCTTAATTTTTTTTTTTTTAGAGGCTTTTGATTTTCTTCCAGTTATCACCTCGATTTTGCTCTACCTACCTTCTCACCAAGTCTGATCTGCTTTGTGTCCTTGTTGAAGAAAAATATTCTTATGGCATGATGCTGCCACCACCATGTTTTAACACTGGGCATGGTCAGGTTTTTTGCCACATAGGTACGGTGGCCCTGAAGTGCAAACTGCAACTACAAATCTAAAAGCGCAACTACATTAAGGAAATCGCAACTACATAAAGCAAAGTGCAACTACATTAGGAAAAACAAAACTACATAAAGCAAAGCGCAACTACATTAAGAAAAACAAAACTACATAAAGCAAAGCGCAACTACATTAAGGAAAACAAAACTACATAAAGCAAAGCGCAACTACATTAAGGAAAGTTGCAGTTTGCACTTCAGGGCCACCATACAAACGTGCTAAATATAGATACAAAAAAAAAAAATCAGTCACAATCATTTAAAATTTTAAGAATTGCATTAAAAGAAATAAGTAAATATATTTGCATATTCTCCTTGAGGTATTTTGTACATTTTGATGATGTGCATATGTTCTGCATTTTCATAAAGGCAACAGTGCAGTTTATTTTCTAACATGCAATTTGATATACCCAGATTAGTAGATAAACTTTGATCTCACTATAAAATTTGGACGTGTTTTTGTCAGTAAAGCCTTTAGTGGCTCATATTTATAGTGAATTGCATGTAGGCCAGATATGTTAACTTCGGCCTTATCAAAGCAACAGGCTTCCTCTATATGGTTGCTGTTTCCTGTTGTTTTCATGTTCATTTTTTTTTTTACCACATTTTTCATCACTTCATAATTACGTAACACTTTGTGCTGCTCTTTCATGTAAACTCTGTAGACATTCACAATATTAAAAAGTTCAAGGGGTGTAAATGCCTTTGCAAGGGTCTTCTCTTTAATCCTTTAAAGTACCGTATTTTCCGGTCTATAGAGCGCTCCTCATTATAAGCAACGGCAATTAAGTTATTTGAAAAAACTGGAAACGCGCATCTGATTAGGATGCCTCCTGGACGTCTCCCTGGTGAGGTGTTCTAGGCACGTCCCACCGGGATTAAACCATGGTTATTTGCATTTTAGTTGTTTCTTTCTTTAGATTATGCACTACATAGCATAAGGTTAAAATGACACGAAAACATAAAACTAAAAAAGACTAGATTTACAGTATGTTTAAACATAAATCTAGTCTCTTTGATTTTTATGTTTTTTTTTTTTCATTTTAAAATTATCGTATATGGTGCGTAATCTAAAGATAGAAGCAACTAAAATGCGGATAAACATGGTTCAATCATTTTGCCCGACTGCTCTGAACATGTCCGATGATACAAATGTTTAACGGAGTAAATGTAAAAAGCATCAAAAGTGTATCAGAAAAGTCAGAACGCATTTTTTAAAGATGTGTATTAGCATTCTTTAGTGAGTTAAGGATAGATATAGGTAATTTTAGTACCATAATTACATTATTGAAGGAAACCCGGATATACGTATATCTTTTTGCTCATGCACAGAAAGAATCATGCTTCCGAGACGGATCGGGTATTGGCATGCAGTAAGAGCCTCTAGTGGCTTCGTTGGCTCTTTTTTCAGCTCTGCAGGAGTTGAGCCCAGTCTCTTTATTCATTCGGCAGCTTTAATGCAGCAAATAAATATCAAAATATGTGAATTTGCGACATTTGTTCTCCGTCGTGCCTGCTGCTAGCATGTTCTTGTGCTAAATGAAAATTCGCTCTTTATTCTTCCATTTCTAATGTTGACTTTGACCTGTAGCGGTTTGCAAAAATTCCATAGAAAAGCGGCACCTTCTTATAAGCAGCACGATTTAAAGCGTGTAAAATAAAGCAGTGGCTTATAGTCCGGAAAGTACGGTACAAGACATTATGCAAGTTCAAATGAATAAAAATGACCAGACAAATATAAAAATTGAGCTTCCTCTGATTAGATTGCGAGGCCGAAGAAGCGAAGTGAGACGGTGAAGTTTAGCCAGCATGCTGTTGTATCGACTCATGAAGGCCAACCCTGCCTGATGATCAGAGTCGCCAATATGCGTAAGAGTCTCCTTCTTGGTTGTCAGGTGGGTTCACATGTGGAGCTGACACATCAGACTCTCAGCTGCATTTACTTTTAGTATAGATGTATTCCAGCATTGATTTGATAAGCTTCCAAATGTTTCCAAATTTTGTTTTGCTTTGCAGAGTTTTAAACCTAAAATGACTTGATCCAAAATTAACAGTGTATATTTTATGTAGGTCACAGGAAAACTTCTGCAGACGTCACTGACAAAGGAAGGTGAAACAGTTCGTATGGATCAGAGAAACGTTCCTTTTCAAGTAGACACTTCCAGCGACAGTCCCTTCCTCATCCTTCCACTCACCTTTTACCACATCATCGATGACAACAGCCCTTTGAGAGCCTGGGCTGCCAAGGGTAAGTTTGGTCAAGAAGTGACTCATTTGTTGGTGTCATCAGTCTGGTGACCAGATCTCAAAGAACTAATTTGGGGGAACTACTATGCTGATGAGGGACAATTTGGGACAGTCGCTGCTTTTTCAAGCATGTGTTAAAATCCTTCATCAGTTCTGTTTAAGAGCTCATTACACAGGTTAGTCATGATATGGGGCACTGGTGCAGCTCTGTGACAATTACTGCAGTTCTGCTTTCTTTGGGACTGGGAATGTCTATTTTTATAGATTTTTAAAAACAATTTATACAAGTATAATTTGGGACATTGTTTCGATTTATGGGACAGCGAGACAAGTGAAAAATGCGGCACTGTCCTGTACAAATCAAGACATCTGGTCACCATAGTTGTCACATGTTGAGGCCGCTCTTATTGAGTTATTGCCTAAGAGCTAGGTTTCAAAATTCTATTTTGTAACTACCTATTTAGAATTAAGAACTGAAAGAGGTATAGACCAACTGCCTAAAATAAGAAGTTCACCACATAGGTATTTAAAACAAGAAAAATATCTGTTATAGTCATTTTTTTTTACACATTTGAGGTTTTACTTGTTCTTCACAACCTTAAAAGTCCAAAAGGACATACTTCTGCCTTAAATATGTTTAAATATAATCAAATGCAGCGTTTGTGAAGGTTTCGTTAAATTCTTTATTAACTGATGATACATAAATAACTTCAATCCAATTCAGTTTAGTTTATTTATATAGCACCAATTCACAACACGTCATCCCAAGGCTGACAGTTCACCAGATCATACAGTCAAATTGTTTCAAAGTTTTCTATCTAAGGAAAACCAGTATACACTAAGCATGCTTGTAGTGACAGTGGAGAGGCAAAACTCCTTTTTAGCAGGAAAAAACCTCCAGCAGAGCCAGGCTCAGTGTGAGCGGCCATCTGCCGAGGTCGACTGGGGTTCAAGGAGACACAGAGATACAAAAGACAACTGTTAAAAGCGGCCTGGTCCAGGAAACACACAGCCAGGCAGATGAGCTCCCATGTCAGAGGATGAGGAGAACACATCTAGCCAGTCACAGTCAGAGAAACAGGACCACACTTAAAAACAGGCCGATCTCCAACATCTATCAACAAAGGTGTTGATGGCAGCAGTACAGCTGATATTTCTCTCCAGGATGGAAATACTTACTTCCATATTAAAGCTTTGGGAATGGATGTCTAAACCTGCTGTCTCATTTTTTCTATTACCGTATTTATGACTTTCCTGACTATAACAGAGCAGAAGTTGTTCGAGGAACACAGAAAAAAGATAATAACAGAGCCTCTATGTCAGTTAGTAAAGAGAGGAAATGGCAACACAGTTAACTTCTCATATCTGGGTGTGTTTTTTTTTTCTATTTACCGCACTCTTTACTTCCTTGTTGTGAAAGAAGTGTCAGGATCTTTAATTTCACAAGAAAGAAGAGGAACAGGAAAGCTATTTATACACTTTACATTTAACTTCATACTTTGTGCTCCAATGATCAGTAAATATCCTTCCACTCTTATTTTCTATTAGATTTGCTTTTCTCGTATTTCTGTTCTCAGTAAATCCTTGTAGAGTTTGTAAAGCTAGAAATCATCTGAAGTGGTCAATGGGCATGTAGAGTACATTCATAGATATCATATGTGGTCATCAATCTGTCAGAGGACACAAACATGGATTCACACTCTCCAAACTTAATGCAATTAAGAAGGCGTAATTTTCCCATCATGCATATCGTTAGACTGTGGAAGAAGGACGCAGTATCTAGAGAAAAGCTTGGTTTCATTAAGCTTAATATTTTTACAGCTTCAGTCTTTTCTATTTTTGGCCTCTTCTTTTAAGGTTACTCTCTCATCATTTCTCTACCAGGTGGTGGCTGGACAGATCCAGAGCTGGCAGACTTTGAACTGCTGGTGATCATGAGTGCTACAATAGAACCAACCTCTGCCACCTGCCAGGTCCGCACCTCCTACCTGCCAGATGAGATCCTTTGGGGTTACGAGTTTCCCCCAGTAGTCTCTCTCTCTAAGTCAGGCAAATATGTAGCAGACTTTGCCTTCTTTGACAAAGTAGCAAAGACCCAGACAACGCCCATCTTCAAGCCGTCTAGTTCAGAACGAGGATACCAGAGCAACGGAGGCGGGCCTGTGCCTGACTTAACAGACCCGGAGAAGATTCGTCTGGAGCAGAGCTACAGGGAGCAGCGAGGCGAAGACCGAGGCCGAGTCAGAG